TGCTGGTGTCTATCTCCAGCAGTCAATGGGCGAGAGGCAGGGTCCACCCTGGACAGGTCGCCAGTCCATCGCAGGGCAACACAGAGACAAACAACCATTCATGCACACACTCAAACCTAAGGACAATAGTCATGTTTTTGGACTGTGGGAGGAAGCCGGAGTACCTGGAGAGAACCCACGCATGCTCAGGTAGAACATGCAAACTCCATGCAGAAAGACCCCGGGCGTGGAATCGAACCCAGAACCTTCTTGCTGCAAGGCAGCACTGCGCCACTGAGCAACAGAGGGCTTTCCATGATAAAATGCAAACTCTCAATGAAATGTAATTTCAAAGTAATCTAACCAGGCAGTTCAAAGGCGTCGTCATCTTGGAGACGGTTTAATGACTTTTGGGGTAACACACCCAACCACCAAGCATTTAGAGTCAGTGTCCCTCAACCTGGACCACAAAAATACAGTTGGGCTGCAAACCAGATGTCCTGGAGGGTTCCTCAATATTTTTTGGAAAAGTTAAGGCATGAAAATGGTTCTAATATCCTTGGCAGCTGCTAGCAGGTAGGCGGTGGAGCAAAAACGCAGATACCCACGTTTCTTAATGCACGGGACCCACCTGGAAGCCAGAAAATCTGAGGTCTACTGCAACCTCTGGGTGGGTTTTTTATCTGTCCTTCAAATGCTGCTAGAAGCAATGCTGAGGTTATTGTAGAGCCATGGTTTGGGTCTAGCTGGTCCTGGGGTAGACATAAAAGATGAAGACAATGCAGAAAGAAGGTGTGCTTCGGTGGTGCAGTGGTTAGCCCACATGACCCATGTATGGAGGCCTTAGTCCTCGACGCGGGCGATACAGGATCCAATCTGGCATGTCTCTTCCAGCCTACTGTTCATAAAGAATTAGCCACTAGTGCCATAAAAACTCAACAAAAAATACAACTTTGAAACATGGAGAAGTTCAAGACAACAGTCCACCAGCTTGGAACCCTGCAGGGATGCTGGATGGAGCTAACAAGATGTTCTGCAGATGACACAGCAGCATTATGGAATTTTGGGAAACAAACAGTCAATGCAAATAATGGATGTTTAAAAAGATTCAAACATACATGTCAATACCCGATCCGTACCGTCAGCTCACCTGCGCAACCAGGTATACATCAGGGTCATCGTTGGTTTTATTTCCTAAAAACAATCTTTATTACATTTCTTTCCCTCCCTAAAAATTGTAAACCTACTAGACTATAATCTGTCAAATGTTAATAATGTAACTCCTGAAAAATAAAATCATTTAAATTCTTTCTGTTTATCTCTCTGTTCCCGATCTGTGTGGCAAATGGGAGCTTTTCAGCATTGGATTTAAACATAAATCTAGCATATTTGAGTTTTTTTTTTTTTTCCTTTTGTGTTAACATTGTGGTATATAGTGCATAATCTAAAAAAGGAAACAACAAAAATGCAGATAAAAATGGTTTAATCAGATTTTGCTGGACTTCTCTGAGTCCGATCATGATGTCAGACAAGCAGCTTAAGGGACAAAACGTAAAAAGCATCAAATTGTCTCAGAAAAGCTGGGCCGGATTTTAGCAGGGGCTTACCGGGGCTGCAGCCCGGGGCCCCGGCATTTCGGGGGCCCCGAAGGATGTTTTATATTTTTGTGAATGGATAGTGTCAGAATTTAATCAATGACTACGATGGTTTTGACAGCACAGATTAAAAATGTTCCAATTTGTTCTGACAAACGTCAATCATGAATGCTTGCTTGTTATTGGTCCACTTTTGACGCATCTTACGCATTGGGGAGAAAGAGCGCCAAGGCCAAGGGAATATTATTTTACAATGGCGGACAACAGAAAATATGACAGCGGAGCGCAGAAAAGAAAGAAGAGAAAGGAAAAAGAGCATCGCACCAAAGAGGCGACAAACAAAATGCCTAAACTGACAGGGTTTTTTAAACCTGTTAGCGGAGATGGAGCAGAAACATCATTATCCCCCGCTCCTCAAACCCTTAGCTATAACACCGGCACTAAGATCCCGCCAGAATCTTTAACCGTGACTGAGTCGGTGGCTGGACTGGCGTCTGTGGAGTCAGAGTTGGTGGAAGCGGGATCTTCTTCCGCAGATGGAAAGACGACTGTGGATCCGTACAGTACCGATCCGGCGCATTGGGGGGAAATTGACGAGTCCGTGCGAGCTTACTGGGCTGAGCGAGGACCGGAGAGCTGTCAAAATATGAATGTTGGCTTTCAAGCATCAGAACGGGTGTACAAGCATCAAAAGCGTCACTTCTCCAAATCTCACTTTAAACGCAAGATGTTAAATGGTGAGTACATCGAAAGACCGTGGCTGCTTTACTCTCCATCCACCGGAGCTGCGTTTTGTTTTGCATGCCGCATTTTCACCAATGCTAATACTCAGTCAAACTTTGAAACTGGTTTCAGTGACTGGAAGCACGCGACTGAACGCATGAGAGAGCACGAAAACAGCGAACATCATAGAAAAGCTATGCTGACATATGTTTCACTTGCAGCAGCCAGTGGGAGGATAGACACAGAACTGCAGAAACAATTTGAATCTGAGTGTTCATATTGGACTGAAGTGTTGAGAAGAGTTGTGTCTGTTGTCAAGTTTTTAGCAGAGAGGGGACTGGCTCTGAGAGGAGCCAGTGACAAATTTGGAAGAACTGATAATGGGAATTATCTGGGAATACTGGAGTTAATCAGCGAGTTTGATCCTTTTCTGAAGTCTCACATAGAGAAATATGGAAATGCAGGTTCAGGGAAACCCTCATATCTTTCTTCCCAAACATGTGAGGAATTTATTCAGCTGATGGGTGATCGTGTTCTATCAGAAATAGTGAGTGAAGTAAAAATGGCAAAATACTTCTCAGTCTCTGTTGACTCCACGCCAGATGTGGCACATGTTGATCAGTTAACATTTGTGTTAAGATATGTGTCACCTGAAGGACACTCGCAGGAACGCTTTCTGAAGTTTCTACCAATTGAAAGTCATACTGGGGAAGCTTTATGTGCGTCTGTACTTAAGGTTTTGGAAGAGATGGGGATTGATATCGCAAACTGCAGGGGGCAATGCTATGATAATGCTGCCAACATGTCAGGAGTATATAAAGGACTACAAGCACGTATAAAAGAACTCAACCCACTAGTTGAATGGGTTCCATGTGCTGCACATACCCTGAATTTGGTTGGAGTTAATAGTGTTAACTGCTGTTTTGAGACAGCTGATTTTTTCCAGTTTGTGCAAAACTTATTTAATTTTTGCTCCAAGTCGACAGCAAGGTGGAAGGTGGTAACAGATGGACTGCAGCCTAATGCAAACAAGCGCATTGAAACATTGAAGTCCCTTTCGAACACTAGATGGGCTGCACATGCAGATGCCACACAGGCAGTGCATATTAACTATGCAAACATTCAAAAATCATTGAAGAATATTGTAAATGACACAAACCAAAATGCAGCAATAAGAAATGAAGCAAGATCACTTGATAAAAAAATGGACAAGCTTGAAACAGCTTTTATGTGTACATTTTGGCATAGCATTTTACAGCGCTTTGAAAAAGCAAGTGCAGCTTTGCAGTCTGTGGAACTGGACTTGTGTACAGCTGTGGATTTGGTGGGATCCTTGCGGGACTACATTGGAGGTCTGAGAGATCAATTTGATAGGTTTGAGTCTCAAGCAAAGAAGTTGTCTCCAACAGTTTCACAAGCTTACAGAGTTACTGGTCGAAGATCAAAGACTCCGAAACCATTTTTTGGAGAGAGCGCCACCTCAGAGGTTGACTTATCAGCTCAACAAAAGTTCTCCACCAGTGTTTTTTTGGTGGTTGTTGACAGATTGCTTTCTGAAATCAATCGCAGGTATATTGCATATGATAACCTCAACAACACTTTTGGCTTCCTGAACAATATTTCTGGTGTTACTGTTCCAGAGCTAAGAAACAAAGCATCTCATCTCCAAAGTAAATATTCAGCTGACTTGGAGATGGACTTTGTGGAAGAAATTGTCCAGTTTAAAGATTTTATTCGTGATAAAGGCATCACATCTGCTCGATTGCTTTTACAATTCATTAGGGAAAAGAAACTGCAGGACATCTTCCCAAATGTGGATATTGCTTTCAGGCTTTACCTGACATTTCCTGTCACAAATGCAAGTGGTGAGCGATCATTCTCCAAGCTTAAAATAGTTAAAAATAGACTCAGATCCACAATGGGACAAGAAAGACTGAACCATTTGACTCTCATGTCTATTGAGAGTGATCTAGTGAGAAAGCTGGACTTCAGTGATCTTGTCAAGGAATTTGCAGTAAAAAAATCCAGAAAAGTGGGCAACTTTTCAAATTTCATATCAGACTAAGCTTAAATGTCTGATAACCCTTTCACTCATTACTGAAAGGGCTTGGTGTTACTGGTTAGGGCAGTGGTGTCCAAACTTTCTGACATGAGGGTTAAAATTATCTCAAAAGAACTTTGGGGCTGTAAAATAATTTGAAAACAAACTTGGTCTTTTTTAAAGTTTATCTGCTAAATTAAAGTAAAAATTTAAATGATTGTAGATACAAAACAAAGATTGAGCCTGTCTTATAATGCACATGCACAAAGTTTCAAACTTTTCAAGGTTTAGTATTGTTTTCTTATTTGGTTTGCGTTTGAGTAAATGTAGGTTGTGTTTGTGGTTCGGGTTCCTACAAAGAAGTTAAATGCAAAAGTGTCATTAATAAATGGAAATCTGTATTTGGTTCTTCATATTTTTCAAAATTTCTCTGTAAAAACCTTGGTCTAGAAGATGAAAATTGTTCATGTTCATGTCCACCTCTGCTTTGGACTTGACAGCACTTTGGACTTACCTGGGTCAGGATATTTTCTGAAAACTACAGTATGCCTGATCTCTTTTATATTGTTTATATCCATGTTCTGTCTGACTGGCAGAGAAGTACTTTTTTTTTTACATTTATTTCCTCCAGAGTTGTTTGTAGTTTGTGACAACTGGCTTATTAAAGTTGTAAGTTGTCAAAACTTACTGTTCGGTCATTTTCTGCTCATCCTCTAAAACAAAACAAACACATACTATATATATATATATATATATATATATATATATATATATATATATATATATATATATATATATATATATATATATATATATATATATATATATATATATATTTTTTTTTTTTTTTTTTTTTTTTTTTTTTTTTTTTTTTTTGACTCTAGCCCAGGGGCCCCCATGCTGACTCCAGCGCAGGGGCCCCCATCCTCCTAAATCCGGCCCTGCAGAAAAGTCATAACAAATTTTCAAAGATGTAGTTTAACATTCTTTAGTGATTTAAGGATAGAAATACGTACTTTTACTACCATAATTACTTTATTTATGGGTACCTAGAGAATATCTGCTTGCACATGACGATACGGATCCGATCTGACAATACATTCCTGTTTCACAGAGTTAGAAGACTGTTTCTGCCTACGTGACCAAAGCTGCTTTAAGGTGTTCCTGTTCTGTTAACAGGGAGAGATGGAGAACTGGATCAAATCAACGGCGTCAGAAACAATGGAGGCTGTGTCATCACAGCAGAGATGTTCTGTGGTTTTAAATGATCCAAGGAGGAGTGAAAGGAGCACAGAGAGCAGTGGAGGAACTCTGACCATCAAGCGGGTGTTCCAAACCTCAGCCCGAACCTGTGCCTGAGCGCCACCCCCTGACCCGGCCCCGTACCCCGAACATGATTGCCTTTGTTCTGCCAAGAATATTCAAATGGGGCCCCATAAAAGCGGGGAGCGCGGGTCGTAACGCGGTGATTCTTCCACCCTGCTGCAGAAGCCGCGCCGAGAGCAAGGTCAAGGCACGGCGGTTAACAAAGCCCTGCATGGCTACAATGATCCACACTGCACACTCACTGCAATTTAGCTTGAGTAATAGATGGGGGTCACACTGGGTCACTTTCAATTTCCACATCCCGGGGAGAAAAATGAAAACAACTCATTTGCACATATCTGAATAATTCAGTCAGTGAAAGAGAGCAGAGATGAAAATATGGGCCTGAAGAGCGGGAGAAGAAAGAGCAGACACTGTTGCATGTCCTGTGGTAATGACAGCCAGCTTCTTAGTCGTCTTGCATAAAGGCTAATGATGAATCTGACAGAGGATATGAATCCAGATGTAAGAATAAAGCGACTCCTCACTCGGGAGGCTGCGCTGCCGCTGCTGAGCTTTTAAACTTATCATAAATGTATTAAGATTGCAGCGGCCCATGAAACAGCTGTAGACAATTAATCTTGTGCAAATCTTATCCGAGGAATTGGTTTCTGCGGAGCAACATCTGCTCCGAGAGGCGATTATTCATGGGCATCGCGCAGCCGGCGAGCTTGTATGCATGGGGCACAATCACTGCCAATGAAGTAAAAATTTATAGTTTTCCCTGTTCGGTAAAAATAACATTCAGCAGCATTAAAACATCATCCATCAACATTGTCCTGGGGCCCAGGGCCATCCCTGGCAGACAAATTAAAAAGTATTCATTTTGCAAAGAAGCTGCGCAGCGTGCTGCTCCACTGGACTCATTCCTTTTTTCCCTCTGAATCGCATCTATGGGGGGAATTGAAGCCGCTGCTGTTTTTTGCTCTGCTTGAACAGCGAGGAGGAAGAGGAGAGATGAACCTGGTCCCCTGGAGACGGCGATCAGGAGGTACGGCCCCTGATGGATGGCAGTCAGTGTGGACTTGGCAAATATGAACCTGGGTTAAAATCAAGTCCGTCATTTTCTTACAAAGTTCCAGCTGCAATAAGCGCCTTTCACCACGTGTTTCACTGGTTTGACTGGTTTTTCACTCAGAATTCCTGAAATGTTTCATTACACAAAAAAATACAGTAAATATACATTTATTTGTTAATAGTTGTATTTTCTCCTGATTTTTGAAGGTAAGACTATTTGCAACTAAGAAAATTAATATTTAAAAAAGGAAACACAAGCTCCATGATCCCATTTCCTTAAGTAGCTAAAAACAAAAGAAATACATTTCTATGAAGCATTTCATCTCTTTAATATCTGATTCTTTAGCGGTTTGCTTATATTAACAGAGTCGTCCGATGTTTTATTCTATGACTCCACTGAATCATTTCTATCATCAGAAAAACAATTCTGTTTTTTTTCTTTTAAATACAAACAGAAAAACAGGTGGCAGCGGCTGAAGGTGACGCATTAAAACTACAGGTGAGTCAGTGAGGGTGTTCTGTGTTTACTGATGCTGTCGGCCTGTTTTTAAGGAGAGATGTTCCTGCCTAAATCACAAACATCTAACTGGTCTTTCTCATCAGAAAAAATATGGATTTCAAAGAAACAGCTTTTTATAATCTAAAGCTTTTTGAACAGACACTCAGACATTTCTCAATATGTGTACTTGTGCATCCTCGTGTCCTCGTGAAACGTCATCAGCCTTTAGCACTATTCCAATTAACAAGAACAGCAGACTGAGAACGGACAAAGTCCCCGGATATAGTTCTGGCCCCTCCCTCTTTACCCAGCATGCATCAGAGCAGACTGGTCTGTTCTCCAGACTGACAGCTGTCCCAGCATGCACTGCAGCAGCATTAGCTTCCAGGTTAGCGCTCACAGAGCTCAGAGGATTCAGTTAAAAGTTATTTTCTGTTTCTGTTTTTTTCAATAAAAGTACATTTTAAGGTCATTTTAGGTGAGAATATTATACTTTAAGCTTCACTATATGGAACATTTACTGATTTAATGCGTAATTTAAAGAAAGGGGACCATAGAAACCAATGGAGCTCCGAGGCTAACCATGGTTAACCAGGGCTAACTTTAGCCTGTCCTCCAAAACCAGGGCTAACTTAGTCCATCTGTTGCAGCCAGGACTAATGTTAGCCCGTCCGCTAGCCAGGGCTAACATTAGCCCATTCGCTGCAGCCAGGGCTAACGTTAGCCTATCCGCTGCAGCCAGCGCTAACGTTAGCCGTTCGCAAAAGCCAGGACTAACGTTAGCCCGTCCGCTGCAGCCAGGGCTAATGTTAGCCCGTCCGCCGCAGCCAGGACTAACGTTAGCCCATTCGCTGCAGCCAGGACTAACGTTAGCCCGTCCGCTGCAGCCAGGGCTAACGTTAGTCCTTCAGCTGCAGCAAGGACTAACGTTAGCCCGTCCGTTAGCCAGGGCTAACGTTAGCCTATCCGCTGCAGCCAGGGCTAACTTAGTCCATCTGTTGCAGCCAGGACTAATGTTAGCCCGTCCGCTAGCCAGGGCTAACATTAGCCCATTCGCTGCAGCCAGGGCTAACGTTAGCCTATCCGCTGCAGCCAGCGCTAACGTTAGCCGTTCGCAAAAGCCAGGACTAACGTTAGCCCGTCCGCTGCAGCCAGGGCTAATGTTAGCCCGTCCGCCGCAGCCAGGACTAACGTTAGCCCATTCGCTGCAGCCAGGACTAACGTTAGCCCGTCCGCTGCAGCCAGGGCTAACGTTAGTCCTTCAGCTGCAGCAAGGACTAACGTTAGCCCGTCCGTTAGCCAGGGCTAACGTTAGCCTATCCGCTGCAGCCAGGGCTAACGTTAGCCCATCCGCTGCAGCCAGGGCTAACGTTAGCCCCGTCCGCTAGCCAGGGCTAACGTTAGCCTATCCGCTGCAGCCAGGGCTAGCGTTAGCCCGTCCGCTGCAGCCAGGGCTAATGTTAGCCCGTCCGCCGCAGCCAGGACTAACGTTAGCCCATTCGCTGCAGCCAGGACTAACGTTAGCCCGTCCGCTGCAGCCAGGGCTAACGTTAGTCCTTCAGCTGCAGCAAGGACTAACGTTAGCCCGTCCGTTAGCCAGGGCTAACGTTAGCCTATCCGCTGCAGCCAGGGCTAACGTTAGCCCATCCGCTGCAGCCAGGGCTAACGTTAGCCCCGTCCGCTAGCCAGGGCTAACGTTAGCCTATCCGCTGCAGCCAGGGCTAGCGTTAGCCCGTCCGCTGCAGCCAGGGCTAACGTTAGCCCGTCCGCTGTAGCCAGGGCTAACGTTAGCCCGTCCGCTGCAGCCAGGGCTAACGTTTGCCCGTCCGCTGTAGCCAGGGCTAACTTAGCCCGTCCGCTGTAGCCAGGGCTAACTTAGCCCGTCTGCAGCACCGTGACGTCACTAACCAGTAGGTGGCAGTAGTGTTCTTTGACAAACATGGATGCCTCCAGTAAAGCACATTCAAATGAAAATTACTCTGAATTAAAAACACTGATCATTTATTGAACAGGATGGAATCATTTCAGATTTAAAGAACGTTCAGAAGTTTGGATTCGGAATATGAGCGACTTTTCCTTTAATGAAATGTCAGCAGTGACAGACGCCGCAGTGTTGGGCTGAATGGAGGTGGATCTTTTTCCTCTCCTTCCTCCGTCTGCTGGAATAACAGATGGCGGCACCATTTACCAGCTGGAGCCGGGCCAGGCTCTGCTTTAATACAGCTCCGGCCGCCTGTCGCTCTCTGGGGTCTGTCAATAATTAAAAGCTGAATTCAGCCAATAAACTGTTATGACTGATCCTGTTAATTTAGCTGGGAAATGATCCACGTTGTCTGAAACATGCGGAGGAATTAAAGGCTGCCAGATCGCCCTGCTCATCAGGAGAGCCAAAAGAAAAAGAGATTATAGAGTTCAATACTAGATAAATACAAACAGAAGTGAAATAATTAACAGTAATGAACAATTAGACGAAGAACAGAGAGCAAAACCAAGAACCTCTGGTAGCCTTCATTGATTTGGAAATGTTAAGATCAGTTTAGATACAGTAGTAGCTATTCAAAATTCTTTGGCTGGTCCTTGGCTGGTGCTTCTTGAAATAATGACATAACTATCTTATTATCACGGGTAAACCAATAATTGTTTTCTCGAGATAACAAGATAACTATTTCGTTATTACGAAATTATTATTGATTTCTTTAGATAATAAGATGATTAACCTGTATGACTAATGAGTGGCTCAGGTTATCCTGAGCTATCTCTATAGTTCTGCTGCTATAGGCTTAGACTGCTGGAGGACATAGGGACCCCTTTTTCATCATTCTGCTTCATTCTATCTCTATTCTCCCACTCTGCAGAATCTGTTAGTTCAATCTCTAACGTTCTGCTCTCTCTGCTTTTTCTCATAGTAGCTTCATCTGGTCTGTTCCTGTTTGGCTGTGACTCCATCCTGGAGAGAAATATCAGCTGTGCTGCTGCCATCAACACCTTTGTTTCTAGATGTTGGAGCTTGGCCTGTTTTCCAGTGTAGTCCTGTTTCTCTGACTGTGACTAACTGGATGTGCTCTCTTCATCCTCTGACATGGGAGCTGGCTCGGAGCTCGTCTGCCTGGCTGTGTGTTTCCTGGACGGGGCCGCCTGTGGAGCTGGTTGACAGTTGCCTTTTGTATCTATGCTTCTTTTTCTATGTCTGCTTCTGTCTCCTTGAACCCCAGTGGGCCTCAGCAGATGGCCGCTCACACTGAGCCTGGTTCTGCTGGAGGTTTCTTCCTGTTCAAAGGGAGTTTTTCCTCTCCACTGTCGCTACAAGCATGCTTAGCGTGAGGGATTGCTGAAGAGCCAATGAGTCGATGCAATCAACTGGTTTTCCTTAGATAGAAAACTTTGAATCAATCTGACTGGATGATCTGGTGAACTGGAAAGTGACCTGAGATGACATGATGTGAATTGGAGCTATAGAAATAAACTGAATAGAATGAGG